TGTCTCTATGTGTGTGTGACTGTCTCTGTCTCTCTCTGTCTGTCTGTCTCTGTCTCTGTGTGTGTGTGACTGTCTCTCTCTCTGTGTGTGACTGTCTCTCTCTCTGTGTGTGTGTGTGAGACTGTCTCTCTGTGTGTGTGTCTGCGCCTTGTGTGTCTCCATCTTATTTTGTTCAGCACTTTGAGTTGCCTTTTTGTATGGATTGTGCTATACAATTAAACTCTCCTTGTGTGTGTGTGTGTGCGTGCGTGTGTGTGTGTGTGTGTGTGTGTGTAGACAGTACAGCGTTGGGTTTGAGATGGTCACTGTGTCCACATCCACTGATCCTGGAGCCGCAGGATTCACCAAGAAGAACAGTGGAGACTACAGGTACACACCGCCCCCTGCTGGTCTAGCCTGGTCGTACCACACCATTGTACAAATGTATGACATTTCATACTAAGGTCTGGATGTGCTCCATTGACTCTGTGAACAGGAGGGAGGGGTTAACTCCTTTTGCAGATTGAAACGGTTGGATCTGAGTTTACCGTGACGTATATAGTGTACTTGAGTGAGTCGTTAGCAGTTAGCATTTAGCCTATCTTTAGCCATCTCCTTCGCCGCTAACGGAGCCCGTGGGGAGTAGCGCCACAATCTTTCCAGCGATTACATTTGCTAAACATTCCTCTTGCTCCCGCTTCAATTTCTTGCTAGAACCAGACCGGATTACTTTACTATCGCATTTTTCGCCCCATTGCCAAACCACGACCGCAAAGTTCGACGCAAACTCTTGACGTCACCCACATCTAAATACAATACTCTCCTTCCGCGCTCTCTGATTGGTCGGTCGAAATTCAACAGATTGTATTCGCTAACACAGGGACCAGACCCAGACGTTACATGCAGTGAAATGATGATTGAGCGGAGTGTACGGATGGATGAGGCCAGGCTACTGCTGGTCCCTATACTCTGTTATTCGGTTAGACTTGGAGCCCGTCCCAATTCTGAGGGCCCTCGAGTTGTGAGTGCCCTCAACAGAAAACAAACGCTAAAAAAAAAAGGAACAATTCGCACTCGCTTCGAAGCTTCCACACGTTCCGCACATACCAAGTGTGTCATGTTGTTTTGTCATTATGGCGCCCAATGCATCATGGGATCACCCTCGCACATAAGTGAGCTCCGGTGCTCACTCTGTGTTGTTCCAAACGTTGATATTGAAAATAAACTCAAACATTAGAGACTTATGAAACCCTCTTTGTCTGCTTCTGTTTTTCTGTCCAGTAATCAGTGTGTATCTGTGTAAATCTGACACTAACACACAAAGACAGACACACACACGCACAGAGAGAGACAGACACACACACACACAGAGACACAGACACACACACACAGAGAGACAGACACACACACACACACACACACACACACAGAGAGAGACAGACACACACACACACAGAGAGACAGACACACACACACACAGAGAGACAGACACAGACACACACACACACACACTGTCACTGCTGCTTTAGAGCCAGCGACAAATCCCTCAAATCCTCAGAGACTTTCCGCGAACTGAGATCTGGTTAGACTGGACTGACATAATTCTACATCTTTAATTGAATCGTATTTAATTCAATAATATTTGTCAAATGTGTTGTGAAAAGTAGCATCGCCGTTTCTTTGATGTAATGTTTATATAATTTTGTTTTTGAGATTTAGATTCACGGAAAGTTGCGGCAAGTTAAACGAATTATATTAAGAAATGGCCAGAGACCAGAGACAGAGAGACCAGAGACAGAGAGACCAGAGACAGAGAGACCAGAGACAGAGAGACCAGAGACCAGAGAGAGAGACCAGAGACAGAGAGACCAGAGACAGAGAGACCAGAGAAGAGAGACCAGAGACAGAGAGACCAGAGACAGAGAGACCAGAGACAGAGAGACCAGAGACAGAGAGACCAGAGACAGAGAGACAGAGACAGAGAGACCAGAGACAGAGAGACCAGAGACCAGAGACCAGAGAGAGAGAGACCAGAGACAGAGAGACCAGAGACAGAGAGACCAGAGACAGAGAGACCAGAGACAGAGAGACAGAGACAGAGAGACCAGAGACAGAGAGACCAGAGACAGAGAGACCAGAGAGAGAGAGAGACCAGAGACAGAGAGAGAGAGAGAGACCAGAGACAGAGAGACCAGAGACAGAGAGACCAGAGACAGAGAGACCAGAGACAGAGAGACAGAGACAGAGAGAGACCAGAGACAGAGAGAGACCAGAGACAGAGAGACCAGAGACAGAGAGACCAGAGACAGAGAGAGAGACCAGAGACAGAGAGAGAGACCAGAGACAGAGAGAGAGACAGAGAGAGAGAGAGACCAGAGACAGAGAGAGAGAGAGACCAGAGACAGACCAGAGACAGAGAGAGAGACCAGAGACAGAGAGAGAGACCAGAGAGAGAGAGAGACCAGAGACAGAGAGACCAGAGAGACAGAGAGAGAGAGAGAGACCAGAGACAGAGAGAGAGAGACCAGAGACAGAGAGAGAGAGACCAGAGACAGAGAGAGAGAGACCAGAGACAGAGAGAGAGAGACCAGAGACAGAGAGAGAGAGACCAGAGACAGAGAGAGAGAGACCAGAGACAGAGAGAGAGAGACCAGAGACAGAGAGAGAGAGACCAGAGACAGAGAGAGAGAGACCAGAGACAGAGAGAGAGAGACCAGAGACAGAGAGAGAGAGACCAGAGACAGGGAGAGAGAGACCAGAGACAGAGAGAGAGAGACCAGAGACAGAGAGAGAGAGACCAGAGACAGAGAGAGAGAGACCAGAGACAGAGAGAGAGAGACCAGAGACAGAGAGAGAGAGACCAGAGACAGAGAGAGAGAGACCAGAGACAGAGAGAGAGAGACCAGAGACAGAGAGAGAGACTAGAGACAGAGAGAGACCAGCACCTCCCGTTTCTCCCATTGACCTGAATGTGTGTGTTGCAGGTGTGGCTTCTGCTACATGGAGCTGGAGCACGTTCCCGCAGGCATCTACAACATCACCCCCACCACCTTCCTCCCCAAACAAGAAGGACCCTTTTTCCTGGACTTCAGCTCCGCGACGCCGCTCCGTGTATCGCAGCTACAATGAGGAAGTGCCGGCTACGGACGCACAACACAGACTCGCTACACAACTGTTGTTTTTATTCTCAAAGACGATCCATCATAAATAATATTGTACTTTTTATTTTGAGCTTTTGTCTTCTCTCTGCTAATTCTGGCGTAGCTTCAACTTTAAATGCATTTCTCAAAGTTTAGTTTGATTCAATTCAATGTTAGCAAAAAGGGTAGTCGTTAATCTTGAGGTTATTGATTTTAAAGAGGAAACACAGCCCCAAACCATAATGTTTCCACCCCCAAAACCCAGCCCCAAATCATTATGTTGGAAGCAAAATGATTTAGGAAACCGAGCTCCACCCCCAAAACTCGGCCCCGAACCATCATGTTTCCACCCCCTTAACCCAGCCCCAAACCATCATGTTTCCACCCGCAAAACCCAGCTCCTAACCATCATGTGTCCACCTCCAAAACAGAGCCACAATCATGTCTCCACCTCCAAAATCCAGCCCCTAACCATCATGTTTCCACCCCCAAAACCCAGCCCCAAACATGTTTCCACCTCCAAAACCCAGCCCCAAACATGTTTCCACCTCCAAAACCCAGCCCCAAACATGTTTCCACCTCCAAAACCCAGCCCCAAACATGTTTCCACCTCCAAAATCCAGCCCCAAACCATAATGTTTCCACCCCCAAAACCCAGCCCCAAACTGGGTTTTCGTCTTTCGTTAGCCAAAAACGCCCCAAACCATCATATTAACAGCCCCAAAGCATCATGTTTCCACCCCCAAAATTCAGCCCTAATTAGTGGAATGTTAATTAGTGAGGGATAATATCAAGTTTTGTTGTTGTCCTCATCTGGTTCTCTAACTCTTTCAAATGGAGCTCTTCTTCCAGTGTGTGTCGGTCTTGTATAAGGGAAGCCGCAGCTGCCCTGGGGCTGACCTGACACACATGGCCTTCTCTCCACTCTGCTCTCACTGCATGGTTTTATTTATTCTTATTTTTTTTGCCAAATTTGAGTCGGCATCAAACCAGTTGCAATATTCATGATAATATAATTGTGTTTGTTGATTATTGAATTTTTGTTTTCACCGAAGCAAAAGAAAAGTGTTTGTTGATTGTGGTTGTGATCTGCTATTTACAGTTTCGGCTAAATCCAACAGTGTTTTAACTAATATGAACAATTCTGACGTTCACGCTAAAAAACCCGATTTCAGACCGAAAGAAGTCGATCTTTGAACCATCTCTATTCTTCAAATGTAACTTGCTTTAACGTTAAGGAAGAAGCAGAACAAGCAAAAATCTGGCTTAAGCAAAGGTTTTTTATGGTCACTTTTATGTATCCCGTGGGCGAAATGTGTCCTCTGCATTTGACCCATCCTGCAATGGCAACAGGGCGTCTGTCGGGAGCAGTGGTTGCCGTAGTAACAGGGAGACCACACTGCAAAAAAGGATCACATTTGAGGTAATAACGGCTTGAATCGAGTGGTTTTTATCCTAATTTGAGGACATTCTGTGTTAAAACAAGATTTGCCGACGGGATAAAGACATTAGAATTGTGGCTGTATAATCTCATTCCAAAGGAGACATTTCTTGTATCTTTTTAACTCTGTTTTGATAAAAGTATTGTGAATCAGACAGCATCTGGATTAAACACATTATATATGAAAAATGTTGGTTGAGATTTGTGGGAAGCCAAGTCACTGTATATTAAGTGTCCTGGAATTAGGAGCTTGTACGGTAATTCTGCTACTTTGGCGCCTAAAGGGTTAAAACAAGATCATATTTGCTTTGTCCCGTTGGTAAGTCTTGTTTCAGTCGTATGCAGTCAGAATGTGTTCAGATTCAGATACGTTTTGCCAAATTTGAACAATTTTTGTCTTATTTTTCATCACTTTTTGCTGTACAGACCTATTTTACATGTATGCAGTGGTAGGGGCAGCCGGAGCACCTGGAGGGAACCTATGTAGGAATAGGGAGAACATGCAAACTCCACTCAGAATGGCCCCGTCTAGAAATAGCGCTGAACCCAGGAGCTAGAAGTGCGATAACAAATCTCATCTTTTTGTCAGTTCAAATCAATAACAAAATTACTCGAGAAAAATCTGAAATCATTAGTTTTTTTAATGTAAATTCTCTGCTTGACATTGTTCCAAATCCTCAGCTATTCCGAAAAAAAATTCTCCAACAATTTGTAATATTCCAGGATTAACAGGAAAATGGTTGTTGCCAATTGTCTTTGCCAAAAAAAAAGTCCTTGAATGATTTCATTTGAACATTTGTTTAAAGACTGGAGAATGTGGTCTGTTTGTAATGAATGAATGTGACGCTGAAACTTGCACTAAATATAAACGTTGATACAGAACGAAACGTCTCTGGATTATTTTATTCTTTAAAGATCAACGTCTATAATCTGCTTTAATCACTTTTCACACACATCAAACTCAGAACTTTTCTATAACATTTTGTTCTTAAACAGGGCCAGAGGAAATGCTCCCAAGTGGAGTAGTAGGACAGGCTAGAATAGACTACGGTCAGGCTATAGTAGGGTAGGGCAGGGTATAGTAGAGTAAGGCAGGGTATAGTAGAGTAAGGTAAGGTAGGGCCGGGTATAGTAGGGTAGGCTATAGTAGATTAAGGTCGGGTATGGTAGAGTAGGGCAGGATATAGTATATTAGGGTAGGGTATAGTAGGGTAGGCTATAGTAGATTAAGGTCGGGTATGGTAGAGTAGGGCAGGATATAGTATATTAGGGTAGGGTATAGTAGGGTAGGCTATAGTAGATTAAGGTAGGGTATAGTAGAGTAGGGCAGGATATAGTATATTAGGGTAGGGCAGGGTATAGTACGGTAGGCCATAGTAGGGTAGGCTATAGTAGATTAAGGTCGGGTATAGTAGAGTAGGGCAGGATATAGTATATTAGGGTAGGCAAGGGTATAGTTCGGTAGGGTATAGTACAGGGGAGGGGGTAAGCCGGAAAGACAGTAAGGAGCGAGAGGGAGGGAGGGAGAGGAGAAGATGGAGAGGTAGGGGGAGAGCGGGGAGGGGGGGAGCTGTAGCTGGGTGGCTGCAAGTGAGGGTTGTTGTAGAGAGACCTGATAGTATAGTAGGGTAGACTAAAGTAGGCTATTGTAGAGAAAGGTACAGTAGGGCAGGATATAGTAGGGTAGGGCATAGTAGAGTAGGGCAGGGTATAGAAAGGTAGGGTAGAGTAGACTATTGTTGAGAAAGGTACAGTAGGGCAGGATATAGTAGTGTAGGGCATAGAAAGGTAGGGTAGAGTAGGCTATGGTAGGGTAGAGTAGAGTAGAGTTTTCCTCCAGGGTTTGAGAATCGCTGTGATCGTCGTAAGAAAAAAAGATTTAACAATAGTTACAATCATTTTATTTCTTTCAACAAAAACAAACATCTGGACAAGTAGAAACTAATGCGACAAAACTGGACTTTTACATTTAAACAACTCACACAAACATAGAACCTGTATATGGACAGGACTGAGTGTGACATCACAAGTGTTAGCCTTAATGCAGAAGAAGCCGATTTAGACATAAGCTAGCTGGAGCCAATTTCCTTATATGGGCATGAGTTCCGACGTGTTAGGGTTAGGGTAACCCTAACCCTAATCCTGTCTAGGATCTAGACACAACCGAAAAATGTATTTGGAAAGGTATTACCACTATTTTGCATGATATAAACCAATTTTTTACTTGCTCTTCTCGCTGGTGATGCTAGACTCGACGTTAATTGACAAAAGGGATGAAGTAGTGGCGTATTAGATGCTACTAAAGTCTTTTGTTAGCTAAAAAAGAAACGCTGTTGTAGTAGCAGCATTGTGTGTAGCTTATTGATAAACGTATGCAAAATATGACGCCGTACCACCAACATGTGCCTAAAAAAATTAAAAAACAAAGATCTCAGTGCACTGTGTAATGGCAGGAAGTGCAGTAATAGGTTTCAACCACAGTTTTGCCGATGTCCAATAGTTGTATAAGTGCGAAAAGCCGCAGGGAACAGTCTGTAATGTCCTGCTGTGCTCTCTCGTTCACACAGAGAGAGAGAGAGAGAGAGAGTCGCTGGTCAGAAATCACAGTTTGATAAGTCACGTTACGGTCCCTGGTCCTTCAGACTCCTTGGACCAGGACGACCGTGTGTCCGGGAGGTGCACTTTTGTTGGAGGAGTCTGTGTTTTTGTCCGAGCGCGGCCTCCGGAGGTTGAGGAAACTGAAACGTGACTCCTGACTAAAGCTTTTCCTCGTGTTTGTGGTGGCGCTGTTGTTGTTGCCGACGGCGGCGTTCTCCAGGTCTCCCTCGGCTCCTTCAGCTCGGTCGCCTGCGAGAAGAAAGACAAGGACAGGTCAGTGCTTTAGAGTCCTACTAGAACCAGGAAGTAGGATCACGTTAGTCCTGGTCTCAGGTCTCTGTGGCTCAGAGAATAGACTTTAAAGCAGCTCTGTTTGTTACAAGTCTCTCCATGGCCTCAAAGTTCATCTGTGACATGTTAGTGACATATGAACCAACTCTGAAGAGCACAGGGACTGGCCTGTGCATAGATTCATGCAGCTAAAATCTAGTCTTCCTGAAAAAGTGAGACAGGTTTCTTCTCTGACTTTAATCCAGGTTAAAACAGTTCTGTTTCTCTCTGAATAAAACGGTTTAATGTTCTGTGATTATTTAGGATTTTAATGTTTCTTGTTGTGACAGTAGCTCAGTTGGTAGAGCATTGGCCTTCAGGCCTGAAGGTTGTGGGTTCAATGCCCACCTCTGCACCTTCTCCACCGACTCCCACTGATGACTGCTGTCGTTGTGTCCTTGGGCAAGACACTTAACCCCACTTTGCCCAAAGCCCCCACTGAAAGATCAAGGCTATGCTCACACTCAGAGAGCAGCCGTCCTCCTGTGGACTCACCACCTGCAGAGGGTCAGTGAGGGGCTGGTGCTATGAGACTTGGGTGGCAGTCCCCAGAAATGGATTAAAGGGAAGAAAATGGATGGATGGATGGATGGATGTTTCTTGTTTTGTTAGAAACTTGTTTTGTGTAGAAACTGCTAAACAAATAATCTGCATAAACATTTGATTTTGTTTATAATTTGGGATGAAAACAAAAACCCTCGTAAATCTTTGTTCTAAAGACCAAGAGCTGTTTCTGAAGTCTGTGGTGTCATCAGCGGATGGAGGATGTCATGTGTGACACCAACAGTGACTGAGCTGAGCTCAATAGAAGCCAGAGCAAGACTTTGTCCATGAGCACTTCCCCATCAGGCTTCATAGAGATAGCATGTTAGCGTTAGCGTTGTCCCTCTACTTCACGTCTTTGCAGGTTTATTAAAGCACACTTCATACAGTAACAGAGTTATATTTAGTTCAGACGCAGTGATCACACCTGCTCTCGTCTTCGACCCGAGCCTCTGTGACTAACGAGGAGCTGAGGACCAGGTGGGACAGAACCAGAATAGATTCTAGATCCTCCAGTGTGACCTCCGCAGATGAAAGAACCTGCTTTTCTTTGTTGAGTTTGTGAAGAACTGAGCTCAGTCTCTTCAGCGTCTCTTTCACAATCACAGATAAAGTTTGTGTTTGTGAAGATGAAGAAAGGAAACTGTCTGAGCTGAGACCTGTTCGTACCATGGATCTACTACAATCACAGACAGCACCAGAACTGCAGGAGCCGCCATTTTGGAAATCAGAAAAAAGAGCTACTTTTGATAAAACTGGGAGAAAAGTATATTTTGTGTAGTTTTATTTTGTTTTTACCTTTACTCATTGTTTAATAAGTGCTAAAACTGGTGAATATAATTTAAAAAACGGAAAAAACTAGTTTGTTGAACGGCTAAACGCTAACTTCTAACAGTAAACGATGTGTTGCTATGGTAACAAGCGAAAACCAAACTGAACCAGGACCAGTCCAGGACCGGTCCAGGACCAGCACAAGAAGTCTTAAACCGACATAGCTGTCAAATTGACTGCTCTGGGAGTGTCAGAGTTAATAAAACATACCCCTCTCCAGGTCGCACTCTGGAGACGAGGCCCCGCTGCAGTCGGTCCGAGGCCCCAGCACCGGAGAGATGAGGCCGAAGTCCGAGAGCGAGGCGGAGCTGGGCAGGTCCAGACTGCAGGGCCTGGAGGGGGGAGCGGGGGAGGAGGAGGTGGAGGAGCAGTCGGAGCAGGAGTCACAGGAGGGGGAGGGGGAGGAGAAGGGGGAGAGCAGCAGGTCCTGGGGGGAGGAGCCGGGGGAGGAGCCGAGGCTGCAGCTGGAGCCGGAGTCTGAGGCCACGGAGGCCCCGGCACAAGGCTCGTCCTCGAAACACTCTGAGGTCACTGTGAGAGAAGAAGAAGTGTGAGGTCTCTCACACTCTCGGGTCTCACACTCTCTGGCTCTGGTCTCTCTCTGGCTCTGGTCTCTCTCTGGCTCTGGTCTCTCTCTGGCTCTGGTCTCTCTCTGGCTCTGGTCTCTCTCTGGCTCTGGTCTCTCTCTGGCTCTGGTCTCTCTCTGGCTCTGGTCTCTCTCTCGCTCTGGTCCCTCTCTCGCTCTGGTCCCTCTCTCGCTCTGGGCTCTCTCTCGCTCTGGGCTCTCTCTCGCTCTGGGCTCTCTCTCGCTCTGGTCTCTCTCTCGCTCTGGTCCCTCTCTGGCTCTGGTCCCTCTCTGGCTCTGGTCCCTCTCTGGCTCTGGTCCCTCTCTGGCTCTGGTCCCTCTCTGGCTCTGGTCTCTCTCTGGCTCTGGTCTCTCTCTGGCTCTGGTCTCTCTCTGGCTCTGGTCTCTCTCTCGCTCTGGTCTCTCTCTCGCTCTGGTCTCTCTCTGGTCCCTCTCTGGCTCTGGTCTCTCTCTGGCTCTGGTCCCTCTCTGGCTCTGGTCCCTCTCTCGCTCTGGTCTCTCTCTCGCTCTGGTCTCTCTCTGGTCCCTCTCTGGCTCTGGTCTCTCTCTGGCTCTGGTCCCTCTCTGGCTCTGGGCTCTCTCTCGCTCTGGGCTCTCTCTCGCTCTGGTCTCTCTCTCGCTCTGGTCTCTCTCTGGCTCTGGTCCCTCTCTGGCTCTGGTCCCTCTCTGGCTCTGGTCCCTCTCTGGCTCTGGTCCCTCTCTGGCTCTGGTCCCTCTCTGGCTCTGGTCCCTCTCTGGCTCTGGTCCCTCTCTGGCTCTGGTCTCTCTCTCGCTCTGGTCTCTCTCTCTCTCTCGCTCTGGTCTCTCTCTCGCTCTGGGCTCTCTCTCGCTCTGGGCTCTCTCTCGCTCTGGGCTCTCTCTCGCTCTGGGCTCTCTCTCGCTCTGGGCTCTCTCTCGCTCTGGGCTCTCTCTCGCTCTGGGCTCTCTCTCGCTCTGGTCTCTCTCTCGCTCTGGTCTCTCTCTGGTCCCTCTCTGGCTCTGGTCCCTCTCTGGCTCTGGTCCCTCTCTGGCTCTGGTCTCTCTCTGGCTCTGGTCCCTCTCTGGCTCTGGTCCCTCTCTGGCTCTGGTCCCTCTCTGGCTCTGGTCCCTCTCTCGCTCTGGGCTCTCTCTCGCTCTGGTCTCTCTCTCGCTCTGGGCTCTCTCTCGCTCTGGGCTCTCTCTCGCTCTGGGCTCTCTCTCGCTCTGGGCTCTCTCTCGCTCTGGGCTCTCTCGCGCTCTGGGCTCTCTCTCGCTCTGGTCTCTCTCTCGCTCTGGTCTCTCTCTCGCTCTGGTCTCTCTCTCGCTCTGGTCTCTCTCTCGCTCTGGTCTCTCTCTCGCTCTGGTCTCTCTCTCGCTCTGGTCTCTCTCTCGCTCTGGTCTCTCTCGCTCTGGTCTCTCACGCTCTGGTCTCTCTCGCTCTGGTCTCTGCAGAGGACACTCACTGGAGATGCCGTCGGACTCCATCTTGAACGTGGAGAGGTCGTCCCCGGTGACGCCCTCCCCCTCGGCCCCCACCCCTCTGCCGCGAGGACCGATGGTGGAGCTGCGGCGGCGCTCGTGGATCTCGTCTGAAATCTTCTCCAGGCTCCGCAGGGCGCTGCTGTAGTCCCCTTTGGCCTGGGACAGTCTGGCCTGGCGCTCGTCCACTGTCTTCTTCAGCTTCTGACGACGTGAGGAGAGAGAAGCGTTTAGCACAGTCTACACATGACATCACACTCTCGGACAAACGGTAGGAAGGGGGGCCAGAGAGAGACCAGAGAGAGAGACTAGAGAGAGAGACTAGAGAGAGAGACTAGAGAGAGAGACCAGAGAGAGAGACCAGATAGAGAGACCAGATAGAGAGACCAGAGAGATAGACCAGAGAGAGAGACCAGAGAGAGACCAGAGAGAGACCAGAGAGAGACTAGAGAGAGACCAGAGAGAGACCAGAGAGAGACCAGAGAGAGACCAGAGAGAGACTAGAGAGAGACCAGAGAGATACTAAAGAGAGACCAGAGAGAGAGACCAGAGAGAGAGACCAGAGAGAGCGAGGGAGAGTGAGTGAGGGAGAGAGACACAGTAAGACAGAAAGAGAGACAGACAGAGAGAGAGAGAGAGACGGAGACAGAGACACACATATATAAATCAGGTGTTTTCCAGAGCATTCTCACCTCTAACTGAAGGTAGAACTTGGCCTTCATCTCAAAGTACGGCCTGCGGAGGAACACACACACAAACAACGTTAGACCAACCACCATCAAACGCCAGAGAAATGGTGAGGCAGAGGTGTCGCTATGGCAACGGCAGGATGGATGACGGGATGCAGAGCGATGTGAGGATGTGGGACGGATTAAGGACGAGCGAAAGCAGCACGAGAGCGAGAACACAGCACACAATAAAACTCTAAACAACCCACTCTTTACAAAGCCAGCCAGAGATTTAAATGTTTTGGATTTATTACAAGATAAAATAAAAATAACAATAAAGGATCGGTTTTGAACAGCGTTTTTGCTCCCACTTTTGCCTGCTGTTATGTGACTCTTTTAACCACCTAATTCATTTGAACATTTTAATATTGGTTTAAAACGGTAATGGATTGAAGGCAAATTGGAGTCCGCAAATGTTGATTATCAGTCCCTCCATGTGGCTCTGTGCTCTGCCCCCCCCCCCCTTTATTTGCTAAAGTATCCGTGTTTTTACTGTGTATTCTTAAAATAAATGGTCAGCTGAACTCTGTGGTCACCACCACACGATAAATAAATAAATATGTATAATATGTAAAAGCAAAACTAGAGAACTCTAAAAACAACTCATCACGAGGGGAATCTACACGAAACACCTCCTACATTCAGAAGCCAAACCACAGACTTCCCCTTTAACGTCTGACTGTTAAATACCGCTGCTCGTCTTGCCCGTGTCTCAGACTGTGACGTTTGAGTTTCCTCTGAAGAAAGAACCACCGACAGTTTGCCTGAAATGACGCCAAAAAGTGCAAACCCGGGAATTTGCTGCGTTTTCACATGTTTTTAGGAAATCCTTCGTTAACTCAGACCTGACGCGGCTCATTCCAGTGACTCTCCGCCTTCAATTCAATTTGCACAGCCCCTCCCACTTCTAACCATTCACACACACTCACACACACCAGACTCATTCTGATGTGGGGGAAGTGTCTTGCCGAACGACACAAGAACAGTTTGTCACTTTACAGCCACAGCCGCCCCACGCAGGAAATGAAATGATATCAGAACCATAAGAGCCAATGGTTTATAGAGAGCGGGATGACTACTGTCCACAGAGAGAGAGACTGAGAAAGAGACTGAGAGAGAGAGACAGAGAGAGATAGAGAGAGAGAGAGAGAGAGACAGAGACAGAGACTGAGAGAAAGACAGAGAGAGATAGAGAGAGATAGAGAGAGAGACAGAGACAGAGAGAGAGAGAGAGACAGAGAGAGAGACAGAGACTGAGAGAGAGAGAGAGACAGAGAGAGAGACAGAGACTGAGAGAAAGACAGAGAGAGAGAGAGAGAGAGAGAGAGAGAGAGATAGAGAGAGAGACAGAGAGAGATAGAGAGAGAGAGATAGAGAGAGAGACAGAGACAGAGAGACAGAGAGAGACAGAGAGAGAGAGAGACAGAGACAGAGAGAGAGAGAGAGATAGAGAGAGAGACAGAGACTGAGAGAAAGACAGAGAGAGATAGAGAGAGAGAGATAGAGAGAGAGACAGAGACAGAGAGAGAGACAGAGAGAGATAGAGAGATAGAGAGAGAGACAGAGACAGAGAGAGAGACAGAGAGAGAGACAGAGACTGAGAGAAAGACAGAGAGAGATAGAGAGAGACAGAGACAGAGAGAGAGACAGAGACAGAGAGAGAGAGACAGAGACAAAGAGAGAGACAGAGACTGAGAGAGAGAGAGATAGAGAGAGAGACTGAGAGAGAGACAGAGACTGAGACTGAGAGAGAGACAGAGTAGTAGTAGTCATCTTTTTTTATATACCGCCTTTTCACTCCAGATCAGAGTCTCAAAGCGGTTTACAATTGTTATTTTTGGGCATTAATCTCTCACTCCACACAGAGATGGGAGCGGCCAGTACAGGAGGCACATGCCAGACCTATTGTACATATTTTTAGTGGTAGGGGAAACCGGAGTACCCGGAGGAAACCTACGCAGACATGGGGAGAACATGTAAACTCCACTCAGAAAGGCCCTGGTCCAACCGGGATTCGAACCCAGAACCTTCTTGCTGAGAGGCGAGAGTGCTATCTGATATAGACAGAGAGAGAGACAGAGAGAGAGACAGAGAGAGACACCAAAGAGAGAGACAGAGACTGAGAGAGAGAGACTGAGACAGAGAGAGAGAGAGACAGAGAGAGACAGAGACAGAGTGAGAGTGAGAGACTGAGAGAGAGACAGATTGAGCGAAATAGAGAGAAATAGAGAGAGACAGATAGAGACAGAGAGGCAGACAGATAGAGTGTAACTGCCCCGTTATTAGTCCTGTTCTTTATTTATATGCTTTTTGTGTGTAATTTTATTTTCCGCCAGTAGTGGGCGCACTTGTCTAGTCTCTGGACCAAGCGAGAGCTAATTCCTCACCCTGTACACAGCCAACGAGGTTAGTTCTTGTCCTGTTATTTTCTGTAACTTTATTTTTGTGTAACGTCTATTTTGTGTATTTAAGCTAAGCTAAATTCGTTTTTTATTTCTGTCTTCCTATAGTTTTCACGGTGTGTTTATATGGATCTGTACAAGATGGATGCTAATAAATTCATCAGTTGAAGAAAACCACTTGTGTCTTGAGTACTCGGGGGAATTATATAGATAGAAAGAGAGAGACCTAGAGACAGACAGAGAGACTGATAGAGACTAGTTTTGGACTAGGTTCCCAAGCTTTATGGAGACAGGGGCTGTGCTATTCACACAAAGACGCTGCGACAGTAAAATGTTGGAGTTTATATCGTTTTGGCTTTTATTTACATGAAGACAGTCTCCAGAGTGAAACAGAACAGAGACTGCAGCGGGGGAAGTTTCACAGCTGTGTGAAGAAAAAGGTGTGAATTCTCTGCTGCGATGAACTCAGCACTTCCCCCAAGTACATTTGGACATGTGCAGTAGAACAAACAAACAAAAATGGCGGTGGGTACACTAACTAGCTACATATGCTTCAAGCGCTACACGGAGGAGGATTCTAATACTTTGTCCAAACAAAACCACGCAAAGCTGTAGTTTACGTTTTAATTTCTAAATGCAGAATGATGTTGGTGCATTTTTCACGTCTTTGCGGCGGCCTGAGGAGGATGTTGTAAAGTTCCACTGCCCCCTACTGGCCTGGCGCTAGAACCACATTGTTTTCCATCATTATGACGCTGTGCACTTCAAATAAGGAGCGTTTTTGCTAATGGCTTTGTGGGGTCTGCGCAGCGTCTCCGTCTGAAAGGGGTCTGAGAATGTGATGAGGAAAGTGAATGAGGTGTACGCCTGGTCTTACTTGGACCAGATTACATGTTGAAGAGTCAGTGGATGCAGTGGTCTTACTTGGACTTGTTGATGGTGCGTTTGAGTTTCTTCTCCAGTTGTTTCATGCGTGCGATGGCGGCCGTGTACTTGCTGCTGGTTTCTCTGTGCAGCTGCTCGCTCCTGGTCTTTGTGAGCTCCGCCTCCATCACCTGCGACAACACAAGATTTCATTTCAGTATGGGTCTACAGCCTCAGTCCTGGGTCTACAGCCTCAGTCCTGGGTCTACAGCCTCAGTCCTGGGTCTACAGCCTGAGTCCTGGATCTACAGCCTGAGTCCTGGGTCTACAGCCTCAGTCCTGGGTCTACAGCCTCAGTCCTGGATCTACAGCCGCGTCAGTCCTGGATCTACAGCCGCCTCAGTCCTGGATCTACAGCCGCCTCAGTCCTGGATCTACAGCCGCCTCAGTCCTGGATCTACACGCCTCAGTCCTGGATCTACAGCCGCTCAGTCCTGGATCTACAGCCGCCTCAGTCCTGGATCTACAGCCGCCTCAGTCCTGGATCTACAGCCGCCTCAGTCCTGGATCTACAGCCGCCTCAGTCCTGGATCTACAGCCGCCTCAGTCCTGGATCTACAGCCGCCTCAGTCCTGGATCTACAGCCGCCTCAGTCCTGGATCTACACAGCCGCCTCAGTCCTGGATCTACAGCCGCCTCAGTCCTGGATCTACAGCCGCCTCAGTCCTGGATCTACATCTGGACTACAGCGCCTCAGTCCTGGATCTACAGCCGCCTCAGTCCTGGATCTACAGCCGCCTCAGTCCTGGATCTACAGCCGCCTCAGTCCTGGATCTACAGCCGCCTCAGTCCTGGATCGACATCCGCCTCAGTCCTGGATCGACATCCGCCTCAGTCCTGGATCTACATCCGCCTCAGTCCTGGATCTACATCCGCCTCAGTCCTGGATCTACAGCATCAGCCCTGGATCTACAGCCTCAGTCCTGGATCTACAGCCTCAGTCCTGGATCTACAGCCTCAGTCCTGTGTAACTTTGCTTCTACAACTTGAAAACAGCGTGTCTAAAATGTTTCTTTTGTTCACAATTTCCAGAGTCCGAGCCTCTTTCTCATGCCCATTATTCATAACATTCTTTGAAAACCCAGAAGTCAGAGAGTCAGCCACAGCCAGAGAGGGAGCGACACACCATAGCAACAGTGTCTGCTGGTACCCTGTGCGTGGCGTGGTTGCTATAGTAACAGTGTCTTCTGGTACCCTCTGTGTGGCGTGGTTGAGCATCTCCTGCCAGGCCGAGTCGAACTGTCGAGTGTCCTCCTCCAGAAGTCTCTGTTCGGCCAAAGAGATGGTCTCTTTGGCCGCTCTCAGCACCTCTGTGGCCCTCTGGAAGTCCTGCGTGGCGTTCTGAGCCTCCAACTGGGCCTACACACACAATACACATACACATGAGAACGGTTGAGTTTTAATTATTACTCAATATTCTCTATAGTCTATTCCACTGTAGCCTGGTCGTACCACACCATAGTACATATTACATTTTGTACTAAAGTCTGGATTCGCTCCATTGAGCTCTGTGAACAGGTGGGAGGGGTCAACTCCTTTTGCAGATTGAAACGGTTGGATCTGAGTTTACCGTGACGTATCTAGCGGAGCCCGTGGGGAGTAGTGCCACAATCTTTGCCAGCGATTACATTTGCTAAACATTTCTCTTGCTCCTGCGTCAATTTCTTGATAGAACCCGACCGGAATACTTTCATTCTCTGCCAAACTCTTGACGTCACCGACACCTCCCGACAACATCCGCCTCCCCTGCTCTCTGATTGGTTGGAGGAAATTCAACTGAGGAAACTGCAGACACTGGGACTAGACCCAGACGTACATGTAGGAAATGATAATTGACCAGAGTTTATGGAATGCTAAGACCTGGCTAATTCCACTGATCGAGCGAAAACAAGGGGAAAGTTTGGCGTGTTTGGATCTACGTCGGCGCTTCACCACGCTGAAGGCTGAACATTCTAAAGACCAAGGTCACGTCATAATACTACTGCTGCTACTGTTCTTCATCTGACCCACATAGAAAACAGTTTGTTATTTTTGTCTTAATTCAATGTTCACAGTTACGTCTCTGGCAAAAATAGTAAAGGTCGCAAGGCGGGTTTAATGCCCAGTTCTGCTAAGTGCATAAGAACATGGCGCCTCAGGGATGTTGGTCTAAATGCTCTTGTTTTTCCGCAGCCGGAATGACTTCAGTTTTCAGCCAGCTTCAAAGTATCAAATGTATTTTACTCTTGTTTTCTAGTTCTACGCCTGGCTTGTAAGTGTAAACATAGTCGACAAATTACTTTATGCCTGCTCAGCTTGTATTTTTTTTACAAGACATTCGTAGATATAAAGGGGTTCATTGTGGACTGAACACAATGGTCTATGTCAGTCCTAAAATGCCACAGTTTGCTCGAAGAGAAAAGATTAAATAAGCTCATTCCTGAATCTTGACTAAAACAATCGTTGCCATTCGCAGTAGAACATCCATTTGATAAAAAAAATATGTATTACTTAAAAACAAACATGAATAGAAACCTGGACATTTTTCTTTTGAGTCGCTCTTTGCCGATGATTGTCGGATGTGACTTTCACAAAGAGGAAAAGGAGAACGAAACAGAAGCTTGGGGATTTTTTTTCAGTTTTATAAATGTCTAAATGTTGAGTGGTTCTTTGCTGATGCTTTAGGGACATTTATGAATTCACATTTACAGACAGTGGTCATTCTGCGCTCTATGGACCGATGGCTCGGGGAGTTTGTTACTGATGTATTTCCAGAGTTTGAACTAGAGTCAGATTAGTTAGATTCTCTGATCCGTCATTGGCAAATCGACAACAAAAGAAAAATTTAATTGATAAAGTGTGACAACCCTTTATTTCATGAGAACATTGCAAGCTAAATGTTTAAAAGAGAAAGAGAGAGCGAGAGAGAATGAAAGATTTGTGTGTAAAAATAGCTCTCTGTGTGTTAAGCAGTATTACATAAGTCAGATCGTGGAGATTCGGCGTCTTTCACTCCACAGAGAGCAGGGTCACCAGTACAAGAGGCACATGCCAGATCTATTGTACTAAACCGGAGCACCCGGAGGAAATCTACACAGACAAAGGGAGAACATGCAAACTCCACAAAGAAAACCCCTGTTCCGAGGGACTGGCCTCCTGCTGGGACTCTGAGGGGCACAGGGACTGGCCTCCTGCTGGTCCCAGAGTCAGGACTAAACATGGGGAGGCAGTGTTTCACATTTATGCAACAAAAATCTGGAAAAGTCTTTCGGAAAACATGAGAGAGGCTTCTTCTCTGACAATGTTCAAATCCAGGTTTAAAAACAGTTCTGGTTCTTTGTAGGGGTGGGAACCTAAGGGTACCTCACGATACAAAGCTCACGATAACGATAATATCACGATTAAAATCGATATCGATACTTGGCAAATGCATATGGGTAATCGAATCACGGGAGAAAGTATCGCGATATATCAAACTCGATACATCGTCACACCCCTAGTTCTTTGTGCTACAAATGAAGGATTTTATATTTTCTCTTTTTAATGCAGTGTGATTATTTATAATAGTAATGTTTTCTTATTTAGTAAAGCTTCCCCATCTTTCTGTTCCTAAAGTGAATTGTCAAATGTAGTTTATCAGGAGCAGAGGAGAAAACGTGACATAAAAAGGAGGCCGACTGAGTCCACTCTGCGCCGATTATAAAAGAACCTTTTTATAACGCAGCATTAGCGTCGTGCCTTTCACCGCGAGCCTCTCATAAAAGAGGATTCTGCTGCACTGAGGCGTCCCATTGAAGTGAAGGAGAGCGAGGCAGAGACAGGACCATGACCCGCCCTAGACTGAGGCCAAGGACTTCTGCACAGCTCAAGAAAAGTGGACGACCACAGGATGAAGGACAAAGAGACTGTACCTGTGATTAGATAGAAACAGTATTTTTAGGATCGACTCCGGCAGTGTCTCATTTCCTTCAGAAGAGAAACAAATACATCTTACCGAGGTCAAAACTGAAGTGACAGGTTTCTGAAGAATACACTGTTTCTGCTTGAAGAGACAGCATAATGTCAGACACGCATACTGCTAATAAAACCAGTCAGGATCCATGTCAGTTCCATATATTTGTGACTAGCCATAAATCACAGCAGCAGGACTTTACAAAGTTGTTGATTCTCCAACAATAGATCACAGAATCAGTTTGAAAAAAAATGCAATAATGATCCATGGGGAGCAGGAAATGTGAATAAAAGTCTAAATGTCCCAGATCGTCACTGTCCTTATTCGATACAGCAGCTTTAAAAAATCTAAACTCAAGAATAATTCAATGCAAATAAATAATAATCCTAAATGGGATTATTGATTTTTGTGACTTGCCCAATATTAGTGAGCTGGAGCCAATTTCCTTATATGGGCATTTGTTTTTCAGAAATTAGCTTAACGCCGTACCGGGGGCAGACGTGTTGCTAAGACGAGCTGAGAATAGAAAAGCCTGGACCGGCACAGGACTCTAACCATTTAATGCAATCAAAAATAAAAAGTATTGTGATTAATTGTGCTAATTTTGTATCCAATTTGTTTGCAACTAATATATGTGATCTTTTAAACAGACACCTGGCTCTAGTTATATTAAAGTTATAACTCAACAGTCATAGCAGACGATTGTCTAGACTCAAAGTATAAACTGAACTAATGAAACGTGTGATCCATTTTGAAGGGTTTGTTTGTTGTTGTTTTGAGGCGTCTGGGCCACCGTACACTTCTGATTTACACACACAGTATATACATAACATATTTCAGCAGCAGCAGTAACAACAGCAGCAGCAGAAGCAGCAGCAACAGCAGCAGCAGTAACAGCAGCAGTAGCAGCAGCAGCAGCAGCAGTAACAGCAGCAGTAACAGCAGCAGTAACAGCAGCAGTAACAGCAGCAGCAGAAGCAGCAGCAGCAGCAGCAGTAACAGCAGCAGAAGCAGCAGTAACAGCAGCAGCAGCAGCAGCAGCAGCAGTAGCAGCAGTAGCAGCAGCAGCAGCAGTAGCAGCAGTAACAGCAGCAGTAACAGCAGCAGAAGCAGCAGTAACAGCAGCAGCAGCAGCAGCAGTAGCAGCAGCAGCAGCAGAAGCAGCAGTAACAGCAGCAGCAGCAGCAGCAGTAGCAGCAGCAGTAACAGCAGCAGAAGCAGCAGCAGCAGCAGTAACTGTTTGCTGTAATGTGATTATCTTTGGTCGCCTTCAGGCCCTGAGTCCGAACAAACCAGGCCTTGTTTCTCAGTCAAGTGGTGGACGTCTTCTCCTCTCCTTCTCTCCCTCTTCTCTTCTCTTCAACATCCTTTGTTCCTTCGGCTGTCAGACTGTATAACAAACCTGACTGACTGTACTACAACAACAAGAAAAGAGTCTTCTACTGCTGGACACCTGAATTTCTCCTATGGGGGATCAATACAGTATTTATCTATCTATCCATCTATCCTCTCCTCTTTCTCTCCGTCCTCTTCTCCTCCACTTGCTCTTCACTCCTCTCTTCTCCTTCTCCTCTCCCTCTTCACTCATCTCTTCTTCTCCCCTGTCACTCCTCTTTCTCTCCCTCTTCACTCCTCTCTTTTCCTCTTTCTCTCCTTCACTCTTCTCTTCTCCTTCTCCTCTCCCTCTTCACTCCTCTCTTCTCCTTCTCCTCTCCCTCCTCTCTTGCTCTCCTTCACTTAGGGCTGGGCGATAAAACGATAACGATATATATCGCGATAGACATGTGTTCGATATTAATAGAGAATGGGGTCGATAGAATGTTCGATAGCTTAACTTAACTCAGTCAGGAAAAACAGGAAGAAAACACCGGAAGTAAAGCCGACTCATAAGCGCATGGCATTGTGGGGGATGTAGGCAGAGGCTTCTCGACCAATAACAGCCGAGCAGGAACCGCAAAACTTTCTGGGAAATGCAAAAACACCAACAACCCATGCAACAACCGCAGCATGCGCAGCGTCCATGGATCTATAGCTCGTGTTTCAATGCCGTGTCAATGGTTATGCACGTACGTGCGCGGAATAACATGTGCGGCGGCAGAGGCAGTGGACAGACACGATGTATTCGGCGAAAGCAAGAGATTAACTTTTTCCTCTGGAAGCATGTGCGGCACAGAGAGCCGCACGGAGCGGTCACGGGGACACAAGACCCTCAAACAGCTAAACCAGGAGCTAAACCAGGAATAAAAAACCAGGATTAAACCAGGACTAACAACGAGGGACACAGTGTGAACATATTCCTCCAGCCTCATCGCCCCGTGACTGTAAACAAGGCTGCTAAGGTTGGTTAGCCCACACAACAAATATATTTATTTAGGTAAAAAAAAAAAAAAACTCAATATATATCGTTATCGACCGATATGAATGACTTATATCGTGATATAGTTTTTAGCCATATAGCCCAGCCCTACCTTCACTCCTCTCTTCTTCTCCCCTGTCACTCCTCTCTTCTCCTCCTCTCCCCCTTCACTCCTCTCTTCTCCATCTCTTCTCTCTCTCCTCTCCCTCTTTTCCTTCTCTAACCCATTACCCTATGGTCGGCACTAGATCATACGGAATCGGGACAAAACCGGAAGTAACAATCATTTTTTCCTATTAGTTTTGATTAAAAAGTTCGTAAGTGGTGACTGGTTAAGTTTTAGGCGTCTGAGTAAGATGGTTAAGTTTAGTTAAGGGTGGGTTGGGGTTATTTTATGGGAATGTCTGGTTAAGTTTAGGCATGAATAGGTAGCTTGTTATATTTACTTCCGCTTCGGTCCCGATTCCGTATATGATCTAGTGCTGACCATTACCCTATGGAGGAGGAGGAGGCGGTAACAAACCAGTGAAAGTCCTCCTTCCTCTCCTAATCCATCCTCTTCAGATCTGAGACCAGCAGTTTTAGAACGAAGCACCAGCCTCTGACTCGGACTTTTAGCATCGGCCTCTGAACAGACAGATCTCGTTCATTCATTTCCTCCAGCACCAAAAAAAAAAAACACAAAACTGAACCTAATTCTGTCTGTAGCTGTAAACTGAACCTAATTCTGTCTGTAGCTGTAAACTGAACCTAATTCTGTCTGTAGCTGTAAACTGAACCTAATTCTGTCTGTAGCTGTAAACTGAACCTAATTCTGTCTGTAGCTGTAAACTGAACCTAATTCTGTCTGTAGCTGTTGCTCAGTCCTCACTTACTTCAAACACATGTATCTGCCTCTAAAGCTAAACTACTTCCTGCTACTGCTCTCTGCACCTCGGAAACTCATTAACCCAGTTGTGAATCTGCTTCAGACTAAAATACCAGAAACTGTAGTCGCTTCTATTTTTAGTTAATGTAATTTTCAGTTTTAGTCTCGTGTTGGTTTTGACGTAAAAACATTTAACAGATGTAGAAGATCTTCCGTCCTGGTCATGGATTCTCATTTGGACTGCTCCCATTCACAATGGAATACTGAGGAATTCCCCCCAAAAAGTGTCACTTTCCACCAGTGGGGGAGGGTCCCAGCTCAAAAGTGGCCAAAAGGACGTGCGCTGACATGCTGCAATACCACCCCGGGCCAATGGGGGTGGACCCAGAAGTAGAATTAGCCAATGCTAACATATAGCGTTGGCAGACCTCTCGAAAACGTCTTTACAGGATGGACCAAAAGTTGGCTCTTGGCCCAAAGCTCCGTTCCACATGTGTGTCAATGCTGAGGGGGGTGGATTTTTTTGGTCCACTCTAGTTTACTCGCTGTGAATTTTTGAAGTCTCTCGTTCAAATGAATGGAGCTTGCGCCGGCTGACGCATGCGCAGATGCGTTTTTTCACAATTTTCTTGTGGGCGGGACCACTCGCGGCCATTTTGGATAGCTCCAGTAGAGCACATTTTTTGGCCCATATGTTTGAACGCCGGAGATAGGCGTGACTCTGTCCATTAATATATACAGTCTATGCTTTCCACCAGTTTTATTAAAAGTATGTAATTGATAACTTTTTTTTTTAAAGCTAATGCTAAAACTCAATTGCTAACTGTTAATAGTATCCAGTGTGTTGCGATGGCAGGACCATAAACACACTGTCACAGAGAGGTAGATTTGACAACTGGGAAAACACCATCACTGGTACATCACTGACCGTAAAATCGTAAAATCAAATCGAATCAAGGACTTGGAGAATCGTGACACCCCGAGAGATAATGTAGAAGAGATTTGAAGCTATGGTTTTGAACTGGCCTGTCAGAACACTGTGGACTTATCCCTGACCTACTTCAGTCTGATCAGCGGTGGACTCGGCTGTAGCGGCTCACAGAGTTACATTTCTGAGATTTTAGACCAGCGCAGTCAGCAACTCACACGCTGTGCCGTTTGCCCCAATTTTTCATAATCTGCTTTCATCCGTTAGCATCAGTCTCCACAGAGCTAGCACAGAGGCTAACATGCCATCTCTTTCTCTCTGGCCTTCTCTAGTCCCACGTTTGAACCAGTGCCTCTGAAAGTCTCGGTCCGCAGGGAACACAGACAGACAGTTCAGAGCAACGCTTCAGTTTGGCTCAACGGACACTTTTTCAATTATTCAGATCTGACTTCTTCAGAGAAAAACGTGCCTCGTTGCATTAGGGCTAAGAAGTGAAGTGAAGGAGCCTGTAGCTACAGCAGAAGGCACTTTGCGGCTACAGTCTCTGGTTTTAGACGTAGCGATAAAAAAAGGGATCCTTTTGATAGAGAATGGTTCCAAGAAAATGGCAAAATATGAGAAGTTTACTCAAAATACTCCAATATCTTATGTGCAGTTAGTGAAATCTTGAGAAATATCTTGTGGAAGTAGTTATCTATACTTCGGATGTACTAAGCACTAGGGGTGCAACGGTTTGAAAAAATCATGGTTCGGTTCGTACCTCGGTTCAGAGGCCACGGTTCGGTTCATTTTTCGGTTCATTTTTCAAAAAAAAAAGTGTTGTCTTTTTAATAAACACAGCTCATGTGGACTCGGCACCTGCTCTGACTGCCCCCCCCCCTGACCTAGAAATGAATTAAGGGGAAGGAAATGGATGGATGGATGGATGGAATATTCCATCCATCCAATTATGTCTATTTAACATAATTAATGAAAAACAACACAAAGTGCAACATAAGAAGGCACTTTATGAGGATATTTACTCTCATATATTACACCACCTTCCTGATTCTCCCGAGGAGGCGCTCCATTCTGGGCCCAGCCTCATTCACTGCATTTATTTAATTTTTGGCATTATCAGTTGTGACTGGGATATTAGTACTGGGCCTTTGTCTTCCATTCCTCCGCTGCTTGTGTCAGTACCTGCGCTGTGTGACTGTGTGACTGTCGTAGAGGGGGCGTGTCTTCAGCGCCAGACTTTTCATCTCCCAGTCTGCTGTGATGAAGTTCTCCGTTCCGCTCATGGATCTATTATAGGTTCCGCGGGACGTCCGAGCGTCAGTCGTGAACGCAGCTGTGATGCGCGGGAGAGTTGACTTTAGCCCGGTCTGACTGTGCGTAAAGGAGCAGCTTAAATGCCGCGACAATAAGCGGTCGTTGAGACGCTTTTTTCACTCATGTCTTTCTTGTGCCACAGTGCTTACACATCGTGACAGTTTTGTCAAATATTAATGATCAGTGTAGTTACAGTGAAGCCAAAATGCTCTCATACTGGGGATTTAAATGACGCGTGGCTTTCAAGCATCTCCGTTCCTCCGCTCGCCGTGACCGCGCTGTGTGTGGACTGAACAACGTGCGCACAACTTTTTTTTCATAAATCAAACCGCGGATCACGTCTGTACCGAACCGAAGACGTTGAACCGAACGGATCACGGATCAGTGATGAACCGTTGCACCTCTACTAAGCACTATCTAGGTCTCCTGCTGGGACTCTGAGGAGCACAGGGACTAGCCTCCGAGAGTCAAGACTAAACATGGGAAGGCAGCATTTCAGATTCAAGCAGCTAAAATACAAAACAAATTGTCTTCCTGAAAATGTGAGACAGGCTTTTAGAATGTTCATATCCAGACAGCCAGACTGTTCTGTTTAGAGCTGCGTACTAGGGTTTAATCCCGCGACACGGGATTCCCGGGAAATCTGATCAAAACTATTTCCCGATTCCCGGGAAATGTTATGACGGAAAACGGGAAATGAAAGTTTTAAAAAAAATCCAGTGCGCTCCTATTATAGAGCACGTTTATTGTTGTTCAAAGTTCAAACATATTTCATTTACAATCAACATGTCTACAGCTGAGAGGATGGCTCATAAATTGTGTTTTTGACAACAAATATGGGTCTTAATCACGCTAAACCACGACTTGTAATGAGGCCAGCCTCAGGGTACGGGGCACATGTGAGCCCAGAATTCGGCTACATCAGATTCTATCAGAAAGCTCCTTTATTTTTGTTTGGCTAGCATACATATAACACATTTTAAGATCATATAAAATGCATTTAGGGTAATGTTCTGCTTCCAATGACGATAGGAATGATAAGGAAGAGAGGAGAAGGGTAAGAAGGTTGATATTAGAAATTGGATGCGCCCGAGAGACGGCTGCAGCCAGCGAAAAAACACAGGAGTTTATGGAGGTGGCACCCGTTTTGTTTTACGCTCTAAAACTCTTTGGGCTTATTTCCAAATGGGGGATTACATATCTGCGCTCAAACTATTATCTGGACTTAAACATGAAACTGGTCTGAACTGAAGTTGTCTGTGCTGTTCATTAATAACTAAGGTAAGACCCATAACACAATTGGAAATGTGCCTTTTACGAACTTTTGCGTTTTGTTTGAGCAAACAATGCGGGCCATGGAAAACATTCTGCTGTAGCAAAACTAATTGTGAATAAGCCGCTCTGTAGGTTCTGTTGATTTATATGATATATGTTCATCTGACAGGGCTGAAGTCAGTGCCTCCAAACCTCACCGCACGTCACTGGTCGACAAGTGGATTGCGCAGACATTTAGAATCTCATATTAGTGAAATTCCTGAAGAAAGCCCATCAACAAAACGTCTGAAAACGCTATGGCTACTTTAGAAAAGCTAGCACGTCGCTTGGTGAAACACTAGTGGAGACGGCAGCTTTTGTTGGATTATATGTTTGAGTGATATCATACATTACTTGGGCTAAAAACAACAACTACAAACAACAGCTATTTCCCGGGATTTCCCGGGAAAGGCGTTGTCTTTTCCCGGGATTTGATACGTCTCATTTTCGGGAAAAATATTAAACCCTACTGCGTACGGCTGAAGGGTTGTATCTTCGCACTTGTTATTATACTGTAATTATTGATGGTTTGATGCCTGTGTCATTTTGATATTTGGCATTTCGTCCTTCCACAAGCGAATCCTAACAATATCACCAACTTAAACATTAACCTCATCGACCGTCCTTAACTCTACCCTGACCTTAACCGGAATGTGACTCTTGAAAACACAATTCGAAAATAACAAAATAGCATTTATAAATACATTTCCCTTTGACTGCAGTGAAATACCAAGGTTTTAGTGAGTTTTGGCAACAGAAACACAAAGTTGAAACCATAGACAGTATATATTTATATACGGACGTAGTCACGCCTATCTCCGCCGTTCTAACTAATGTGCCACAACTAACGCGGTCTATGGGCAGTTTCAAAATGGCCGCGGTGGATGGAAAATGTGAAAAAAAACGCATCTGCGCATGCGTCAGCTGTACAAGCCCCATTCATTTAACGAGACTTCAAAAAATCACTTCAACTAAACTAGAGTTGTCCAAAAAAATTCACTCCCCTCAGCATTGACACACATGTGGAACGGAGCTTTGGGCCAAGAGCCGACTTTTGAACCATCCTGTAAAGCCATTTTCAAGAGGTCTGCCAATGCTATATGTTAGCATTGGCTAATTCTTATTCCGGGTCCACCCCCATCGGCCCGGGGTGGTATTGCAGCGCACGTCATTTTGCCCACTTTTGAGCCGGGACCCGCCCCCACTGGTTGAAACCAATGAATCTATTTGAGTATGGGTCATGCCAAGGTTATGGTGTAAATATGTGAGTGTGTATATATGTTTTCAAGATTTACAGCCAGTAATACGGTCAAAAAGTAAAACAAACAGAGCTTTTTCACCCCATCAACTACAAATCAAATAGAATACATGTGTATTAGGAATGCTGTGGCTGCTGTATAATGCTAAAAATCTAAGAGAAGACAGAGTGTAAATTACTTACAGAGTCCAGGTTCTGCCTTTAAAAGGTTCATCTGGAGAGTGACCTGATTGTACCAAAGTAAATGTCATTACGGTGAGACTGATCATGTTTACAATCTGCTGCAGACCCAGAAGCACTGTCCCACATACTCCCTCTCAAAAAGAATGCTCCGGATGAAGATTTGTCCTTTAATTCACCCTAAATGACTCAAACATGCGTCAGTCTAAAACAAGGGTCTCCAACCTGTTGCTAGCGGTTACCAGTAGCTCGCTAACCTCTTCCAAGTAGCTCCTCAAAGAATCTATCGCAGGGATTCACATAATGATGGTATGTTTTCAATAGGTTCATGTCGTTTTCTTTAGTTATTGTGTAAACTACAGTTTTTATATGACGGTAAAAGGGAAAACCTCTTTTAAATCACTTCTCAAAACCTGCTTTTACCAAACGGTCTTTAACTGATAGTTTTAATGTTCCACTTTGTTGAACATATAAATATAGATGAATTACTTATTACTTGGTCTTAGTTTTGTCTGTTTTGTTCTGCTGTATTTCTTTTTGATCTGTTTTATGTTATTATTATTATTATTATCATCATCATCATCATCATTTCTGTTCTGTAAAAGTAGTTCTCTGATTGGACAAGGTTGGAGACTCTAAAACAACTTTTGGATTTTTGCAACTGATTCTATATTGTCCTAATATCTCTTTTTTTAATGTATTTTTTTAAACCCATTTTAATAAGAGTTTTAAGCCAAATACTTTATGCTACTGTAAGATGTCGTTGAACATTGATGAACCTCATTGGCTTTTTGGCTTTTGTTTCTGAATGTATTTTGATGTGTTTTTTTCTTGAGAAGCACTTTCCTTGTTCCAGGACCTGTGCTATACAAATACATGATTGATGCATGAGGCTGGATCAGAACAAAGTGGCATCGTCTCTAATCTGACAGAAAACTGATCCTCCGCCAAAACTCTGGAGTCACAACTTTGGATCAGACTCAACTTTTATGCAACAAAACGACAACAACAGAGAAAGGTCTGAGAGTGAATGATGGGATTAATGTTCAGAGAGAAAGGTCACAGATGGACATTAGGTCTGGTTCTGACTTTAGTCCAAACACCAGAACTCTGCAGGGACCAGGAAGCAGCAGGGACCAGGACACGGCAGGGACCAGGAAGCAGCAGGGACCAGGACACGGCAGGGACCAGGAAGCAGCAGGGACCAGGACACGGCAGGGACCAGGAAGCAGCAGGGACCAGGACACGGCAGGGACAAGGACGCAGCAGGGACCAGGACACGGCAGGGACCAGGAAGCAGCAGGGACCAGGACACGGCAGGGACAAGGACGCAGCAGGGACAAGGACACGGCAGGGACCAGGAAGCAGCAGGGACCAGGAAGCAGCAGGGACCAGGAAGCAGCAGGGACCAGGACACGGCAGGGACAAGGACGCAGCAGGGACCAGAACACGGCAGGGACCAGGAAGCAGCAGGGACCAGGACACGGCAGGGACAAGGACAGCAGGGACAAGGACGGCAGGGACCAGGACACGGCAGGGACAAGGACGCGGCAGGGACAAGGACACGGCAGGGACAAGGACACGGCAGGGACAAGGACACGGCAGGGACAAGGACGCAGCAGGGACAAGGACGCGGCAGGGACAAGGACACGGCAGGGACAAGGACGCAGCAGGGACAAGGACACGGCAGGGACAAGGACACGGCAGGGACCAGGACACGGCAGGGACCAGGACGCAGCAGGGACCAGGACACGGCAGGGACAAGGACACGGCAGGGACCAGGACGCAGCAGGGACCAGGACACGGCAGGGACAAGGACACGGCAGGGACCAGGACACGGCAGGGACCAGGACGCAGCAGGGACCAGGACGCAGCAGGGACCAGGGACAAGCTGCTATGAACAAAACCGCAGCTGATACAATATGAGCTCAGCTTTCATAACTCTGCAACAAAACAAGGCAGAAGAGATTTTCAAATGATGTCCTTCTTACTGCAGTTAAATCAGGGGTCTCAAACATGCGGTCCGCGGGCCATATGTGGACCGGGATGAGATGTTTGGTGGCCCCTGGACTTTGCTTTAGTTTATTTGAGTAGGACAGATACAGAAGACAGACTATCGTCCAGTGGTCGTGCTTAGAGCCTCACTCACACCATCAAATCTCACTCACACCATCTAAAAAATGTTAAATCATAAAAAAATTGGAATCGTGCATTTATTTATTCACAAACATTGATGGTTTTGGACAAAGAGATAAAACGGGTCATTTTGTGATGTGAGAATGGGTCCCAAAGAATGAAGCACTCTTGCTTCTCAGAAGGTTTGAATAAGATTCAAACCCAGGACCTCATTTCTTTCTGCATGTTCTCCCCATTTCTACGTAGGTTTCCTCCAGGCGCTACGGTTTCCCAATACCACTAAAAACATGTACACTAGCTAAAATCCTCCAGCTCTGGTCCTAGATGTGGCTACTCCATCTCTACTGTGATCTGAAGGGGTGCTACGGATTATTACTATAGTTAGTTTTTTAGAATAATCAGATTTGTCCTTTAATTCACCCTAAATGACTCAAACATGCGTCAGTCTAAAACAGGGGTCTCCAACCTGTTGCTAGCGGTTACCAGTAGCTCGCTAACCTCTTCCAAGTAGCTCCTGAAAGAATCTATCGCAGGGATTCACATAATGATGGTATGTTTTCTTTAGTTTCATATCGTTTTCTTTAGTTATTGTGTAAACTACAGTTTTTATATGACGGTAAAAGGGAAAACCTCTTTTAAATCACTTCTCAAAACCTGCTTTTACCAAACGGTCTTTAACTGATAGTTTTAATGTTCCACTTTGTTGAACATATAAATATAGATGAATTACTTATTACTTGGTCTTAGTTTTGTCTGTTTTGTTCTGCTGTATTTCTTTTTGATCTGTTTTATGTTATTATTATTATTATTATTATTATTATTATTATCATCATCATCATCATTTCTGTTCTGTAAAAGTAGTTCTCTGATTGGACAAGGTTGGAGACTCTAAAACAACTTTTGGATTTTTGCAACTGATTCTATATTGTCCTAATATCTCTTTTTTTAATGTATTTTTTTAAACCCATTTTAATAAGAGTTTTAAGCCAAATACTTTATGCTACTGTAAGATGTTGTTGAACATTGATGAACCTCATTGGCTTTTTGGCTTTTGTTTCTGAATGTATTTTGATGTGTTTTTTTCTTGAGAAGCACTTTCCTTGTTCCAGGACTTGTGCTATACAAATACATGATTGATGCATGAGGCTGGATCAGAACAAAGTGGCATCGTCTCTAATCTGACAGAAAACTGATCCTCCGCCAAAACTCTGGAGTCACAACTTTGGATCAGACTCAACTTTTATGCAACAAAACGACAACAACAGAGAAAGGTCTGAGAGTGAATGATGGGATTAATGTTCAGAGAGAAAGGTCACAGATGGACATTAGGTCTGGTTCTGACTTTAGTCCAAACACCAGAACTCCGCAGGGACCAGGAAGCAGCAGGGACCAGGACACGGCAGGGACCAGGAAGCAGCAGGGACCAGGACACGGCAGGGACCAGGACACAGCAGGGACAAGGAAGCAGCAGGGACCAGGACACGGCAGGGACAAGGACACGGCAGGGACAAGGACACGGCAGGGACAAGGACACGGCAGGGACAAGGACACGGCAGGGACAAGGACGCAGCAGGGACCAGGACACGGCAGGGACAAGGACGCAGCAGGGACCAGGACACGGCAGGGACAAGGACACGGCAGGGACAAGGACGCAGCAGGGACCAGGACACGGCAGGGACAAGGACGCAGCAGGGACCAGGACACGGCAGGGACAAGGACGCAGCAGGGACCAGGACACGGCAGGGACAAGGACGCAGCAGGGACCAGGACACGGCAGGGACAAGGACGCAGCAGGGACAAGGACACGGCAGGGACAAGGACGCAGCAGGGACCAGGACGCAGCAGGGACCAGGACGCAGCAGGGACCAGGACGCAGCAGGGACAAGGACACGGCAGGGACAAGGACGCAGCAGGGACCAGGACGCAGCAGGGACCAGGGACAAGCTGCTATGAACAAAACCGCAGCTGATACAATATGAGCTCAGCTTTCATAACTCTGCAACAAAACAAGGCAGAAGAGATTTTCAAATGATGTCCTTCTTACTGCAGTTAAATCAGGGGTCTCAAACATGCGGTCCGCGGGCCATATGTGGACCGGGATGAGATGTTTGGTGGCCCCTGGACTTTGCTTTAGTTTATTTGAGTAGGACAGATACAGAAGACAGACTATCGTCCAGTGGTCGTGCTTAGAGCCTCACTCACACCATCAAATCTCACTCACACCATCTAAAAAATGTTAAATCATAAAAAAATTGGAATCGTGCATTTATTTATTCACAAACATTGATTACTATAGTTAGTTTTTTAGAATAATCAGATTATTTTTTATTGTTGCTGCTACTGGACACCTGAATGTCTCCTACAGGGATCAATAAAGTATCTATCTAAATATGTAACTAACTAACAAGGCCAGTTTATTTGTATAGCACAATTCATACACAAGGCAACTCAAAGTGCTGAGCAGAATAAGCCTTAAAATCATAAATAATCACAGTACAAAAGAAAGATAAAAATATAAAATCCCTCAGTTGTAGCACAGCTAAACAGGACTGTCTTCAACCTGGTTTTAAACATTGTCAGAGAGGAGGCCTGTCTCACATCTTCAGGAAGATTGTTCCAGATTTTAGCAGCATGAATTTGAAAAGCAGCCTCCCCATGTTTAGTTCTGACTCTGGGCACTAACAGGAGTCCAGTCCCTGTGCTCCTCAGAGTCCAGCCCCTGTGCTCCTCAGAGTCCAGCCCCTGTGCTCCTCAGAGTCCAGCCCCTGTGCTCCTCAGAGTCCAGCCCCTGTGCTCCTCAGAGTCCAGTCCCTGTGCTCCTCAGAGTCCAGCCCCTGTGCTCCTCAGAGTCCAGTCCCTGTGCTCCTCAGAGTCCAGCCCCTGTGCTCCTCAGAGTCCAGCCCCTGTGCTCCTCAGAGTCCAGCCCCTGTGCTCCTCAGAGTCCAGCCCCTGTGCTCCTCAGAGTCCAGCCCCTGTGCTCCTCAGAGTCCAGTTCCTGTGCTCCTCAGAGTCCAGTCCCTGTGCTCCTCAGAGTCCGGGCTGGTTCATATGGGACTAACATGTCACTAATATATTTTGGTGCGAGGCCATGGAGAGACTTGTACACAAGCAGAGCTGTTTTAAAGTCTATTCTCTGAGCCACAGGAAGCCAGTGCAGAGACCTGAGAACTGGACTAATGTGGTCGTACTTCCTGGTTCTAGTCAGGACTCGAGCTGCTGCATTTTGAATGTACTGCAGCTGTTTTACTCTTGTAACTCTGACTATAAACATCACACACCATCAGAGCAGTGTTGTGCAACAGACACACACTGCTCTGACTCTGCCTCCTGACTTCATGCTTTTGTCGTTTCACATTTGCTTTAGTTTCACATTGACTCAAGTTTTCTCCTGAACCGAGGTCGAGTGGCTTTAGGAACACACCAGAGAGGACACACCTGGTCCTTCAAAACCATCAAACCTTCCCAAACCATCAAAGGCCAAGGAGGAATGAGCAAACACCAGAGCAGGACAGTGTGGAAGTATCAGAGGTGACAATTCAACAGTATGTGAGATTTGATATAGTATAGACATCATAGAGTCAGGACAAGCAGACATCATAGAGTCACAACAAGCAGACATCATAGAGTCAGGACAAGCAGACATCATAGAGTCAGGACAAGCAGACATCATAGAGTCAGGACAAGCAGACATCATAGAGTCAGGACAAGCAGACATCATAGAGTCAGGACAAGCAGACATCATAGAGTCACAACAAGCAGACATCATAGCGTCAGGACAAGTAGACATCATAGCGTCAGGACAAGCAGACATCATAGAGTCAGGACAAGCAGACATCATAGAGTCAGGACAAGCAGACATCATCAGTGTTGTGCGTGAACGAGTTCAAAAGAACGCGTTCATTGAACACGCTCATTTTTTTGTGAACGTTGAACTGAACGCAACAATTTTTTTAAAAAACGAACTTGAACGTGAATTAGTTCATTTTATGTGTCATGAACGGCAGACATCACTATGAAAGTTGGAATCTGTTTTCTCTTTTGAAATGCAACAAGAGAAAGTTCCTCCCTCCTGTATTCTCGCACTTTTTCCGCTGAAATCTAAAAATTCCTTCGGTTTCCACCGTCTGTGAACGCACCCCGACTCTGTGTTGCGGTGCGGCGCTGTGAGCTGGTGCTTTTCACATGTGCCCGAGTTGTGATGAAAACAAAGGGTGAGTTAGCAACAAAGTTTACACCGTTTACATTTGACATAAAGTATAGACACACGCACTGCAGCGCATTACTGTTTGTAGTTTATGAGCAGAGATGGGACAACTCTGTTTTGCTCCCATTGAAAACCATGTAAATCTTGTCAGTTTTGTAGTCAAAAGGCTCTCCTCCCGTAGGTGTCCAGGAGATATATATATACATATATATAGCTCGTTGTGTGAAAAAAATATTTATTTAAGTATCTCACGAAAAAAGTAAAATGAACTGAACTTTGAACTAGTTCAGAATTAAAAATTTGAACTTTGAACGTGAACTGTTCACTTTGAGCATGTATGAACTGAACTTGAACTAGTTCAGAAAAGCTGTGAACTGACACAACACTGGACATCAGAGTCACAACAAGCAGACATCATAGAGTCATAACAAGCAGACAGCATAGAGTCATAACAAGCAGACATCATAGAGTCATAACAAGCAGACATCATAGAGTCACAACAAACAGACATCATAGAGTCACAACAAGCAGACACCATAGAGTCACAACAAGCAGACGTCATAGAGTCACCACGAGTAAACACCCTTTACAAAGGTTCCATGTCATATTTGTAGACTGCCATCAAAAGGGCTCAAAAAAAACAAAACAATGGAGAGTTTGTTGTGATGTCACGTGACGATTCCCGCTCTTTATGTGTTAGGTTCTTGCTTCTTCCATACGTCACCGTGACCAAATCCACCCATAAAAATAAACACGGGTGAGAAGCAGACGGAGCTCAGGGCCGGAGGCTGCGGCACTTTCTCTATGTGTGAGAAAAAAAAGGTGGATCTATTTTTACAACACAAATGGTCCATAGACAAAGAAAAATGAAAAAGACAGGAGCAGACAACAACAAAGACCTCAAAGTCAGCGTAGATTCAGACCCAGAGAAATATCGCACGGAACCTAGTGTTGGATCAATAAGATCAATAATCAATGTTATTGGTGTTATTGTAGAGTAGAGCTATGAAAAACATGGCTAAATAACATTTCAAATCTCTGTATGGATCTGAAACAACAAAGAGCACGGATCATGGGGGACAATCAGAGCAATGGCTGACTTGAAAGCCGGAATACCAAAATATTGAGATGTTTTTAGTCAAGATTCTTCACCACTTTGACAATGACTTGGAATAGAGAGGTTAGATATGAAGAAGTGAGAAAGCTAATGTGGTTTGTATCATTACAGCGTACGTGCTCCAAGTCTGGTTGAAGCTAAAACAACACAAAAGTCTCTGACCTTTCCTCTTTTGGCTGTCTACATTATTTTCCCACGGATCCTCGAAGAGCACCTGACTTCTCACTTTAACCCTGGATTATTTTTTTGAGCCACCATTTCCTCAAATCTTCAGGTTGAAACTGGACTCACCTGAGGAAATGGGCGGAGTCTGACATGCTCCTGCTCGGGCTGGACCATAACCTGCAGCCACGCCGGCTGTTTGAGGACCAGTTTGAAAGCTCTGCCATATGCTCACTTCTCTTGTGTTTTTGCATCTCCTGAGTGGAGTTTGTATGTTCTCCTCGTGTCCGTCTACGACCACTACCAGCCACTAGCCACAATGAAAGACCAAACACAGAGCACATACTTCCCTAGGAGGACAATTATTCATAACTTCGTCATTTATAATAACTTCATTAATACAAAACAGATTCCCAATGTGGAGGAGCAGCGGATCTACTAAGAGCTGCTCCCATGAGACTGAGATCAGAGAGCACCCAGCCAGTCTTGTATCTGCGATCTCGTCTTTTTGATCATTACCCAAACCTTATGACCGAAGCTCTCCACCCACCTATGTTTTTCTTTATTCTCAAAACATTGAACACACCAAGGTCATCCGAAACACTTTACAATGTTTTGGAGCAGCGATATTTTTCAATGTCATGTGTTATAATTCACTTACCGAGGCTTTTGAGATGTAGAAAGAATGTTATTGTTCAGTGGGGACCAAACTCGTGAAATATGCAGGCAGTAAATATGTAAGGGAAGTGAGGACAAACCCATTAATGTGTTTAATTACTGAAGCTCACAACAGAACTCAAAACCCGGAACATAAAGCCAGATTATTATTCAATGCAACCTTTGTTTAGCGAGATCTAAAAGAGGATATTCATCTTAAAGGGGAAGTCCTTGTACTGAAACCTGACAGAGACTTTGTCCTGCTCCAGAATTCAAACCACATTCATAACCTTTAAAGGCATTGATAACCCGGCCGTGTCCCAGACCAGTATGTGACGATTAATCAGTATTGCAATATTTGGGCCACAATTTAATATTATTGCGATTCTTAACATGTTGTGATTTGATTTTTTTGATACAATTGAATAATAATATTGAAATTCTTTGCTCTACTGCATCTGTTTAATTGTGTGTTCAAAATGCCGCGACACTGAACCACAACAGAGTCCCACAAAGGCTACAGCTGCACACTTTCAAACTTCCTCCTCTTCGACCACAGCAGAGGAACCGAGAGCAGCCCAAATATTCAATTTTAACAACGAAACAGGAAACACAAGAGTCAAATGGATCACAATCAGAAACATGCAAACTCATGCCACACACAGGTGGATGAGAAAGGCCAGTCACAGCAGCCGAGGACACCACACAGACAGGACACAGACTGGTTGATTGTGAGACGAGAAGGTGTGCAATAATGAGAGGTGCAATAACCGGCTGTGTGCAATGATTTGAACGTGGAGGATTCTTGGTTGAGCCGCGGTTTATTGTC